GGTCATATCTCCAAATGCAGGTTCTATCCGTCGCGTGAGTTGCTGTCTAAAGACGCGCGATCTTTGCTTCGAAAATAATAGCTAATGACTTAAGATGACCACGGATTGCTGTGATTGCTTCGGCGGTTATAATAATAGCTGTCACGCCACTTCTCACTTATTATTATTTTAAAAGCAGCTGTCACCGAAACGGAGATCGATCGTAAGGACAAATCGCAGAAAACTGCTTTTATCAGCCGATTATCGAGAAGTTGATGCGTGTATATTATAGCTATGCAACGGAAAGTGTTGGCATTTAAGTCGACTTGGTTAATGAGATCATAGGCTTTGGCGTTTGTAATAACTTACGCATTTTTTGTGTTGCCAATTAATTTCTTACACCGGTTGTTCTTTCGGGTACCTGAGGTTGCAGTATCCGACAATGTTGACAACATTCATGATTTTGCTTCAGTACCTTACCCCAAGATACATCCAGCCAGAGTCTGGAGCTAAGTTGGACACACGGACGCATGCACTCCTAATCATTTTGCTCTTCTTTTTCATCATCTACCTGTTGGTGGAGTTACGAATAGCTACATGATATCTCATGACCATCCTGATGAGCTACGCATTGAAAGAAAGCTTCAAGGCGAACGCTGGTTGCCAATATTGGTTTAAAACAGTTTCCAATTTTTTTCGCCTTCGAACCTTAATGCAGAATTTTCCCGACTTGACGATGCTTAAAACCTAATTTGAATAATGGCATTTTTCTTTAATATTCGTAGTACAGTGATACCAAAGGATCATGTTTGGATTGGCCTGTTTGTCTGTCTACGGCAGTTTCACTGTATAATTCTATGAAGACACTGTTTAGATTCGATGGATCCTTAAGCATGAGACTGTTTCGAACTCTTAGCAGATTAACATTGTCTGATATACTCTTTGACCTTAAATGATTGCTCGAAGCGGATGCGTCTTTTGGTTCATTAGTTGGTAGTACCAAACAAATTCATTGATTAAAATTATTTAATACTGATCCAGCGTTTCGACCGACTCCTCTTCCTTTTCCTCTTCTTACCATTTTACTGTTTTAATTGGACCCTTCTTACTAGTTTGTACTGCTAAACATGTGTCTAAATTAGTTCTTGGTACTAAGAAAATTATCACTATGTTGCAACATGTTTAAAAATATGATTAGTTTTGGTTTCAGTGAACAATCCTGTCACGCCAGCAGCGGATATCTATGCTTTTGGTGTATGTGCACTTGAAGTAAGTAATTTTTCAGTACTTATTTTCAAAGTATTTTGTTATTACTTAGTACATTTATGTTGGATATAAAATTTTGTTGAAGCCAGTATAACGAATGACTCCTCAAAGACCAAGCATAAAACTTGTTTTAATTTTTATCGTGCTGGCTTTCTTATACAGATGCGGAATATATTTCCTTATCCTTATCAAGCGGAATATATTTCAAAACGGCCAATAATGCCAATTTGGTCTTCGCGTTTAATTACGGAACAGTGCTTTACGTATTATTTCATTGCAGAAACTTTTTACTTGCTATTTCTGTGTGCAATTGGTGCTTACGTAATGATCTCATTTGAGGTACATAATGAGGCCCGCTCATGCACTGTTTATTATTAATGTAGCTGAGTAGTCCCTGTTTGAAGTGATTAATATGTTAGATGGTTAATTGCCCATGACCATGAACAATCATTAAGAGAACATCAGTGGCCGAAATGACCATTTTCAGATGACCGGCCTTGGCTTTACGTCCAACGGAGGTGACACGACAAGCGTCCTGAATAAAGAATCGATCGCTAAGACCCTTCAAGCAGTTGAGAATTCCCAACAGCAGGTACTTGCACATGTGTAATTTTGCATGACGCAGTATTAGTTGCTTAGCGTCTTTCAAGGATTTCATCCAATGTTGTTTGAATAAAGACCCGGCTCGACGGCCTACCGTGCATGATTTGCTCTTCCATCCGATACTTTTCGAAGTGCCGTCGTTGAAGTTGTTGGCCGCCCATGTCGTCGTAAATAGTAACGCTCGATATAATTAATTTACCGAATGTGGTTCTGCCTCATAACCTGCATTGTTATAGTTTACGAATCGCCGAATGACACAGACGAGCGGATCAAGGAGCTAGACAAGAACAAGGTTATCGCTGAGACCTTCTTATACGACGGATCGCCCGGTACCCAAATTACGTAAGTAATAGGAGGGTGTTGTTTTCGATTATAGAAAACAAAATTAGGTATTTGTAATAAATTTTAAATTTTCGCCTAAACAGACTAATCTAGAGATCACAAATCTATCATTCTTGTTGTGATCTAGAAAGTAGTTCAACGTAGCATCAACTTTATATGACGACATTACACAATTCGAATTCAGGCATTTGCGTTTCGCTTTCAGTTCGATATTCCGGACTCGTTCTGCCTTTCACCTCCTTACGAATGTCGGCTAACATCTGACTGCCGCTTTAATTTTTTTGAAGGCCTCTATCAGTGTCATGCGGTGATTTCATTAGTTCTGTTTTTATTTTAAAATCTTTTGCAGGGTTGGCGACGTTCCAGTCAGCGAGTTGGACAAGTATTTGGAAGACGTTAGGTAAAATTTTTTCAACGATCATTTTGTTTTTCTTTGGATATGAGCATAATTGCCATGCAAGGAACAGTACGTAACAGCAAGTACAAAGAATTGCTTACATTTTTGCGCCAACTGTTACGTAATGTGAGAAATCGGTTGCAGTTAAGTTATTCTATTCTATTCTCTGTTCAGAGGTGGGGCAACATGACATACAATTTGGTAAAGATCTCAGTTGCCATTTTCCTGATGGCTTGGTGTTTAGCCTGGTCACATGTATTTACTGATCTCTGAACGTCTAGTTTAGCGTTAGTCATTTAGAGGTTATACGGCATGACAGACAGATTTCATGAATGTGTTTTATTTGGGGATTAATGGAAATAATGGCATCCTATTCCAGCATCTTCCAATGCGAAAAATGTTACATGATTTGTTATGTAAACTGTATACGATCGTTTGATTAAATTAATGCACTAGATATATGAATGTAAATGAAGCCAAATTAGGCATCGTTATTTAATAGTTTGACTTACTTTTAGTAATTAATTTTAAGTTGTAGCATAGTTGAAAATGACATACATTTCACATTACATTATCTTCCATTCATTCTCAGGGTATCGGTAAGATTACCGTTAAATTGTCACAGAGATAATTAAGGCTGTTGACTAAATGATCCGTTTACTTTTTTTCTCGATCTGCAGTGAAAAACAGTAGGATATTGTTTGGTTAAACATACTGTTTTATTATTTACCAAATAATTCAGTCAGGAGCATGCCATGGTGCAGGTCCACATCTATGAATTACTCGTTTTTGTCTTTATGAGGTAAATAAATCAGTATTAAGCGGTGAGAATGAGACAGAGGCTTGTAACAGGCCATTCCATGTATCTCTTTTTAACTAGATAAATGACTCTTGCTTAAGGTGGCTGTGGTATGCAATCAGCTCAGTCGGAAAGCCAGTTTTCGAGCCTTTGCAAACACTCCTTTTTCTTTTGTGTTTAGCGTCATGGTGATGCGGCAGCAGCTGCTGCTACTTTTATTTTAAGCAAGATCTGTGCCGAACATCATGAGGCATCGATTAGAGAATTATCGTCTTGGTACATTAAGTATATTACGCCTCATTTATGGAAGTTTCGGTATAGTGAACAGTTGACATCGTCGCGCTAGAAATCCAGTAATTGTTTGCCTGAATGGTGGAACATTGGGGCTATTGGACAGACTTCCCGAAGCTGCTAAAACGAAAAATGTACCATTCAAATGAATGAATGGATAAATATTTCCATGACGTTTCGAATCAGTCAAATGCATCCTTAGGGCGGCAACCAAAATAGGTGGTTGTTTGTTTGTTTATCGCTGTTGAGAAGAACTATTTACAAACATAAAAGATTATGGTAGTGAATGTTAAATAAAGCGACAGGGATAAAGATACATTCTGTCATGTGATATATGCACTATATTTCAGATTTAGGATTAGCCCTTTTCGGACAACCTTTAGATATAGTTTCTGGCTGATCCTCATGCATTTTTGATAGAAATGGCATTTACCCGTTGACTGCTTATGCGAATCCATACAAACGAACACGGGTTTCATCATCATCCACCGTGTCTTCACTCAATCTGTCGTTTCCTGCCAAGCAGCCAGCCGCGTCGTCCGGCGACATGCCGAGCAGCGACAATTCAGACGAACAGTGCATCGAGTCGCGACGGTTGATCAGCATGTCTGCAGAGATCAAAGGAGTCGAAACTGAAAGTGTTTATGGAGTGAGTATTTCTTTCTGCTCCTGTACTCGTTAAATGAGCACCCACTTGAAAGCGCTCAGCCACCAATTTCTTTTTGTATATGCAAGTTTCTACCCAAACACAAGTAATTGCTACGTACAGATTATGTTATTTAAATAATCAGTTTGCGTAATGCAATTTTGTTGCTGAGTTAATACTATATTTTGTTTTGGACTTGGGCCTCGACATGGAACATAACAGAGTATATAGTAATATGAATATATTTGTATATAAATCACGAGACAGACATGTGGGCATCGAGACTAGGCAATGGTGATTCATGTTAATTACGACAAATCATCGGTGAATTATTTTTGTTGTTGTCAATATTTCAGTCAGCTGCAAAAGGTCCAAATAAAATTAATTGATATGCACATGATATCTTTTGGTAAATCTTATATTATGCATATATTAGATTAAAGATTAGATAAGATTAAAAGAAATACCAGAGATTTTTTTTCTCCGGTCATCCGTCGCCT